ATGTTGAAATCTAGAGAAAGGGCCAGGGAAGCAATTATTGAAGGAATGGTTAACTTCAAAGAGTACTTAAAAGACTATTGGAAGGAATGTGTGAAAAAGTGACACTATGGGAAGCTAAAAATAATATTGCAGATAGATTGAAAAAGAAAAAAAAAAGGAAAAAAATAATTTAAAAAAGGTGAGAGAAATAAGAGAATATAATGACAGTATAAAGTTAATAGAAACTAATGAAAGGAAATACAGTAAAATAGAGCAAATAGAAAAGAACATGATACATAAATTTAGAATGTGGATTAACTTAGAAAGCAAATATAATAATAATTATAGTTATATATATAATAATTACATCTGATGGAGTTTTGACCATCAGTTCCTAAAGTTACACTTAGGCAATGATGAGTTGGATGGTAAAATGTTATTTTTAGTCAGTTTCAATAAATGTAAAATAAATTATCTGTATCTTTTATTAATAAATTATATGTAAATTTAAAGTACATGGAGCAAGACTCCATTGGATTTAAAAAAAATGTAATTCATGAAGAGTATGAATACTTTGACTAATATAGCAAGATAGTGGATGAGACTTGCTTGAAGATAGAGATGATACTTGTTTTTGAGATTTGATTGCTTTTTCTTGATTTTCATCTGCAATCCTAAATTGTTGAAAAATATTATCTTCTCTTTTATTCCTACTAATAAATCTAATAGATGTATCGTATAATTCATTGGCCGTTAGTTGTTCAGAAGAATCGCCATTCCAACATTTATACATTAAATCCGAATAATATTTTGGTATCCAATCTAACTTAATATCAGGAATTTCTGTTCTTACTCCATTACATATATCAATTATTAAACGAGTATTATGTGCTCGATCATAAAATGATTGTTTTCCGGTTGCTATTTCATACATAATTCTACCAAAACTCCTTTTTTTTGTGAATTCATTTCCTCATAAAACTTCAGGTGGAATTGATCCATAAATATTTTTCTTTTGTTATCAGATTTTAATATAAAATCGACAGCTAACCTACAAACCTAAGTCTGTAATTGATGCACCATATGAATTTGAATAATATTCATAATATTTATAATATTTTATCAAAATGTTTCCACTATGTAGGTCACGATGAACTAAGAACTAAGTTATTTAAATGCAAGAAATAATAATTTATAATCTAAATAAAAGAAACATACCTCTTTAAGAAATCCAGATAAATCATGTCTAGAATTATTTATTTCTTTCAAAGCCAATTTAATATCTACATAAGAATATTCCCAATTGTGTCTATTAAAATTCCAATACCATTTCAAGCCATTTTTTAATATAGCCAAATATACAGATCCATATCCACCATCTGCTAGTGTTTGATATCTTGAAAATTAAATTATCATAAGGTTTCCATTATATAAAATATTCTGGATCATTTATTTGAGAATTCTGGAAAAACCTATCAATTTCAACATTCCAACTAGACAAGGTTCTGAATTAAATATTCTTTATTACAAAACTCACAATATCTACTATCGATTTTAATGCTCATTATAATATTATTGGAAGAATGACCAGCTGTACAATGCACCATTTCTTTTTCTTGAGACATGAAAAATAAAAGAAATGTTCGTTATTGAATACTTTTTCAAATTTACAAATAGCATCGTTTGATGGTTATCATTGCTTTTTCTAATCTCATCGCCATTTTAATATCTAATCACGGATGCAATCCATGAAGAGTATGAATACTACGACTAATATAGCAAGTTTGCGGATGAGATATACTTGACGATAGAGATGATTCATGTTTTTTGAGATTTGTTTTTAATTGATTTCCGTCTATTGTTGAGCACAGTCATATATTTCATTATTATGTAATTTACCACCATTATTATCGAAAACAAATTTTAAAAGT